GTTTTGTCTTCTAAAAGGTCACTTTGATAAATGATTTATGTTGCCAAAATCACATTGCTTAGAATTTTTTTCTTTTTAAGCTTTGCAAAGTACGTTTCCTCTATCTTTTTTAAACTTTTTTTTCCTGTTCTTCATGTATTTTTCCTCTTTTGAATCTTAGGCATATCTCCATTTATTTAGAGCTCTTGTGGTAATTATGCTATTTGGAGTTTTGCTTGTTTACCTGAATAGTGATCCTGTTTCTATCCTCTGTGCCTGGTACTTAGTTTCATGAGTGAATGATGACTGAATTGTGGGCATGGTATGCAGTGAAAAGTCTGGGTTCAGCTCGTAAAAGAAACCTGAGCTCAAGGGCAGTGAGGAGCAGTGCTTGTATGATCTGGAATCAGTGTGTGACCCTATCAATGTGAGGGTGCTGCTTCCAGAGCAGGGAGATTCTAGAGCACTGCAGTTCATAGGGTTCTGGGGTTCCATTCACCTGAGCCTCCGGCCCTCGTAACAGATAAAGCAGTGTTGTCAACCATGAGCAAGGGACAGTGGCATCTACTTCAGAAGGAGTTGGGCTTTGAAGTTTGATGGATGTGGGTTTGAATCTTGGTCGTAAGACTAACTAGCTGTGCATATTTAGGATAACCTCTGTGTGCCTCAGTTTCATCTTCTGAAAGCTAGGGGTGATAATAGTCCCCACTTTATAGGACTATTGTAAGGATTAAATGAATGAGTACGTGTAGAAGAGAACCTGGCACATCATGACCATTGAATAAGTGTCAGCTATTATTATTATTATCGACAATAATAGAATATAAAATTCCTAGAATAGTGCTTGGCCAGTGGCATATCTTGGAACATGTTTACTCCCCAGACAAGGTGTGACTTTGTTGTCCATTTAGGGCTGGGTGTAACTGACTGCTTCTGAATGGGTTTCCCTTCCTGGGACTCTGCCTCATCTCATGGTGATTGGTGATGCCTGAGCTGTTACATTACTTACCAAACAGAAGGCTTTCTCGGAGTGTAGTTTCTAGAGAATTGTGTGAACTTTCCATTCAGCGTTGTGTTTTCTATTAGAAATAAAACAGTAACCACAGCAGGTAGCCTGGAATTTACAGTCCAGCCTTAGGGCCCACCATCCTGCATTTTTAGAGACCAAACACTTTCCCCCCAGATGTTTATTTAAAAAATACTTAACAGAGCATTAAAGTAATTTCTTATAGAAAGGAGAAGGGCCTTAATTTTTATTCTGTGGCTCGCTCCAGCTGGTAACTACTTGAGACTTGAAGATGAACATTGACTTGGACCAAATAACACTGCCTTCCTTTCCTGAAGGTGCATGATTTGAGCACTGGTTAACCTTCTCTTAGGAGCCCTGTTTCTCAGGTCTTTATATTTGGATGCTGTCTTCTGGGTTCTCTGCTTGTTTCTTTACCTCTGTCAGAGATGGAGAAGTAAATGTGTGGCAAACAATCTAAGCACAGAAAAAAAATGCAGCCCCGTCCTGGGTTCCCTGTTCATAGACTTACGAAAGCAGCGAACTGTGGTCTGTGGGTGGTCCACAGAGCAGCAAATCTTTCAGCTATCCTGTGCCTGTCTCCGAATTTTATTTTATTTTCACTGTTAACAGCTTGAGTTTTAATTAACATACTGTGTCCCTGAGCTTTTATTCAGAGTTTGACCTTGCTTTTTATTTAGATTACTACATTGTGGTAGAAAAGAGTTTTGGATTTGAAGCCAGAAGAGAGAAGGGAAATCACATTTCTTAGTTGCTTACCCTTCGTCATTGAATTCCTTAGATCTTTCTTAAGTTCCTACATGAGCCAGGTACTGTGAAAGGCACCACAGGGCAATGATTCAAGGAAGTGGGTGCTGGACTCAGGCTGTCTGGGTTTGAATCCCAGCTCCACATTAAGTGGGACTCGGCATTAAGTGGGGCCTTAACAACTTTTTAGTTTCCTTCTCTTCTGCTTCAGTATCCCATCTGTCAAGTTAGGATGCTAATGGTGTCCACCTGATAAGATTGTTTGGAGAGTAAAATGAATTGATAATATAGAGTGAGACAATGATGATGACAGTAACATGATGGGGGCGTTTGGGAGCAGGACCAAACCACATTGTTACTCTCATGCTGCTCACGGTCCTGCCTGTGTGTGTGTGTGTGTGTGTGTGTGTGTGGGGCCGGGGTGCTGGGGCATGATGTTGGAGTGTGAGACAGATACATATGATTAAGTACAGTAAAGCATGGTGAGTATTGCTAAAGGAGAGGTGGAGGGTAATGTGGGAGCATATAGCGGCGTACCCAGCCTCCTTCACAGGTCAGAGAAGGACACTAGAGAGAGTGATGTTTAAGCTGAGATCTAAAGGAGGAATCAAAGTTAGCTGGGCTGGAGACACTGAGGGGAGGTTGTGTTCTGTGTTCTGTGCAGAAGGAACAGTATGTGTGAAGGTCTGAAGGTAAAATATCGTGGTGTTTAAGAAACTGAAGAAATCTAGGGAGCCTAGAGCATGGGCAGAGATGGCGCTGGCAATAATGAGGGCAGAAACCAGACCGTGGAAAATATGTGAGTCACAGCGAGGATTTTGGGTGACTAAGAGCCAGATACTGTTCTTGGGGCTTTTCATTAATTTCTTCAAGCATCACAACTCTGTGGGATAGGTGTTATTAGCCCCATTTTGTTGGTGGTGAAGTTAAGACTGTAAAATTTTCACTTTCCCCAATGCACAGACTTAGAAAGTAGTCCAGTCAGGATTTGAACCTAGGTTTCTCTGACTCCAATGCTAGAGTTCTTTTTTTTTTATTTTTTTAAACTTTTTTTTTTAAAAAATAGATCTTTATTGATTTCAGAGAGAGGAAAGGAGGGGGAGAGAGAGAGACAGAAACATCAATGATGAGAGAGTCATTGATCGAGCCCTCAACCCGGGCATGTGCCCTGACCGGGAATCGAACCCCGATCGCCTGGATCCTAGGTTGATGCTCAACCGCTGAGCCACACCCAGCCGGACTGCTAGAGTTCTTTTGATGACACCATATCCTTCTGAGCTCGAGGTTTGGCTGTTAGTTTTCTGACTTCAGGCTACCCTGTTAATTTCATTTATCTTCAGTTTACTCATAAAATGGCTAACAAATAAATACCAGCCTCATAGACTTGTGAAAACAAATGGAAATATAAATAAAGTACCAAGTACATTGTCTGGCATACAGCGAGTGCAACTTCTTATGGACCCAGGTTCGTGACAGAGAAGTGTTTTCTTTCATGGTCCCATGAACTGAGACAGGACCCCACGAGCTGCCAGCTGCATGTGGCCTAGTCGGCAGTCATCTTTCCAAGGACCAGTTGAAACTGAAATCCACATGAAAATCACTTTTGCACACAGGAAACCTACTCTTCTGGCTACCTGACAGGTCTCAGTACAGTGGGCTCTGCCTCCACCCTGCAACCTGCAGTCATTTTCCCTTCAGCTGGCGGGTAGGAGTGATCCTGAGGCTCCTCTGGCTCTCCCAAGCATCCTTCCCCGCATGGGCTGGCTGTCATCCTGTCCTCCTCCAGAGTCCCCTGGGCTTGTTCTGCCTGCACCTTATGGAACAAGCTCTGCTGCTGATTGGAATTGAATTTAACTTGGTTGTTGCTGTTTAACTTTTTTCATATTGGTTTCGAGGGCAGACATTGTCTCATCTCTGTATTTCCTGTGATTAACACAATAGATTGCAGTTGTTTTCAATAGGATACCAAGGTTCTTTTATGTGTGTGTGTGTATATATATATATATTTTAATCTTCACAACAGTTCTCTGAAGTAGAGAGTATAGTATTCTTCTTAGCACAGTTGGAGAAACTAAGGCCCACACCTAAGCAATATGACCATTAATTAATTCTTTTTTTTAAAAATATATCTTTATTGATTTCAGAGAGAGGAAAGGAGAGGGAGAGACAGAGATAGAAAAACATCAATGAAGAGAGAGTCATTGATGGAGCCCGCAACCCGGGCATGTGCCCTGACCAGGTATCGAACCCTGATCGCCTGGATCCTAGGTCGACGCTCAACCTCTGAGCCACGGCCGGTTGGGCAATTCTTTAATTCTATAGGAGTCATTTACTAGGTGTAACTCTGTCCCATAGGCTAGGAAAATCGAGCGGAAAGATGTAATCCGTTCCCTCAAGGATGGGATAGATATTTGAACAAATAATTGTACATAGCAAGTGAAGTTTTAGGATAGAGGAATAATGAAAGTGTTTAACTTTATTTAGGGAAGATCAGTAAGAAATTCAGAGAGAAAGGGATGGTTGCATTGGGCCTTAAAGAATTGACCTCATGATGCAGAAAGTGTGTGCATGGGAGGGATGGAGCATCCTAGACAGAGAAATGACATATACCAAAGCCCATAGGAATGGAGACAGGTACTTTGGAAGGCCCTGCAGCATTGATGTGGCTGGCAGGAGGTGGATAGCGGTGGGTGGTGGTAGAAGAGAAAGATGGTGATAATCCCCACTGATGAGACCCCAAGAACCCCAGGACTTTCAAGAGACTGTAAGGTTCCTTCCTAGTTTCTTCCCCTTCACTCAGTCTCCCAGTCCCTAGCCCTTCTTTCCAGAGGCATACACAGCCTGTATATAAAGCACCTTGAAGCTTTGAATGGACTTTCCTTTGTCCTGCTTCCTTGTACCACAGCTTGTCTGCACGTAGATTTGTAATCTCCTTTCCATGTGAAAACATATCACATGAATGACCTTCAACCTGACTACTTGGAAGTGTAAAGGTTACCAGGCGAAAGAACATCTGTGTCATTTACTCTCTGTGATCCGAGGTGGCTGGGAAGGAATAAAGTCCATCTGTGACCGAACACCTGTGTTCCTCTCTTGCTGGCAGAGTCACCAGAGGGGAGTATTATATTGCTCTTCAAATGAGTCAGGCCCACTGTTCTGGAGGAGACAGGGCTGGCGCAGCTTGAGCTCTGTGGGCAAGTCTGACCAGATCTCATCTCACTTTTGCCTGTGTTTGTTTGCCTTGCAGCTGTGTAAATGAGTATGGAAGATTATGATTTCCTGTTTAAAATTGTTTTAATTGGCAATGCTGGTGTGGGGAAGACGTGCCTAGTCCGACGATTCACTCAGGTAAGAGAACTCGGAAGTCCAGGATTGGCTTTCTCGGTCTGGCCTGTGGGGTTAGGATAAACTAACAGGATGGGTGACTGGCCCAGTGCCAGCCTCTTGGCTGCCAGTTATTACTGCTTCCTTTGAAAGAGCACCAGCTCTGTAGCCTAGACTAGAGCTTTTAAACCACCTCAAGGGAGCATGGCTCTCTGGATCACCACCCATGACTCTTGTTGATTCCTTTAGTGAAAGGGGTAAGTAATTTTGTTTTCAGTGTGCAGTATCAAAAATAAATGATTAGGCCTTGGCCAGGTGGCTCAGTTGGTTGGAGTGTCATCCCATATACCAAAAGGTTTCAGGTTCAATTCCTGATCAGGGCACATACCTAGGTCGTGGGTTCAATCCCTGGTCCAGGTTTGTATGGGAGGCAACTGATTGATGCTTCTTTCTCTAAAATCAATAAACATATCCTCGAATGAGTATTAAAATATAGATGATTAAATTAATAAATAGATTATTAGTTAATAATCCAAAGAGGGAAACAAATGAATCTGACATCAAATTAAAACTAAATATTAATTAAAAAAGTCAAATACAAATTAAACAATCAAACTCCCTGCCTTTGCCCTCTGAAGTCCCACAGAAAATTGAGGGAATTGTTTTGGTTCATAACCAAATATGGTGATTTTTCTAGATCTGTTAAATGGTAGTGAAATGAGAGGACTATTTGAACTAAATAAAATGTTCCCTCTAGGTTGAGCCCTTATCTTATGATCTAAGTGCAAGTTTCCTTTGGGGCTGCCCTTTTGAGAATTATTGCCAGAGATTATAAACTTGTTTTTATACAGAAATGGTGGGAAATCATTTTGAGGTTGACCTTCTTTTGTGTTTTCCCGGAAAAGATATGAATGGCATCCTTTTTGGAATTATCATGCATGCATCTTGCATGTTTCATAAAGTGCTATTTGGGAAAGTTGAGACTAGCTCTTCTATCTGAGGCATAGGGCAACCTGGCGCCGTAGAAAAGACATTGGTGTGAGAGTCAGGACAGAGGTCCTAGCCCCAGCTCTGCCCTTGGCTCATCTGTGAGCCCGGGTAGGTTACCCACCCTTGCTGGGCCTCCCTGCCTCCGTGATGCACATGAGGGGCCTGGTGATCTCCAACACCCCTTGCAGCAATAATAGTCTGTGGTTCTATGGAAAACTGGAGAGGCAGATTGGATAAGACAAACAGTGTTAGGACAAAGCCACCTTTGGAAATGCCAGGGTTTTCCCCATGATAATGAACACAAAAGGACTCGTGCTTTTTACTAAGTCTCGGCCTGGTGAAGTAAAATGAAATAAGCTAACGCATCTGGGCTCAGTCAAAACCACTATGGCGTCACATTGGAAACTCCAACTGGTTTTACTTCCACCTAACATTAGCAGTCTTTTCTGCTTTTGGCAGGAGGACAAGACTGCAGAGGTGTAGAGAAGTTTTCAGTCCCTTTTTCAGAAATTCCTTTGACCATGTCTTATTACCGAAATATCCCTTAGAGATTATTCAGCCCACTTCTCTCATTTTATGGTTGGAAAACTCAGGTCTCGAGGGATGAAATGACTTCTTAGTACCTTATATCTTGTTAGTGGTAAGGCTAGTGTTAGAACCCAGGTCTCCTGGTTCTCGGCCTGATCATTTTTACCTTCTGCATGTTCTAACCTCGATAACCATAGGAATCTTACATTTCTTTTTAAAAGCATAAACCTTGTCATTAGAAGCAAAAAATGCTTCCATATTTGAACACGGATTTTTACCAATAAGCACGTCATCCCTTGTTTTTCATTTCTGTGTACTTGTTACCCCTCCCAGTCCCTCTGCTCCCCACAAAGTTCATATTTCATAGACAAGATTATATTTGTTTTTGTTATTTAGTAGACAGTTAAAATGAATTGGATTCAGCTGTTTCTGAGGCACGAGGAGTTGGGGAACAAAATGAGGGGAGAAGACATTAGGAAGGATTTGTTTTATTTTGTGGCATTTGTTAGACTGCAAAACAGCTGGAGCTATAAACTTGAAGCTTGGTTTGAGCCAAACCAAAATAGAAGGAAATTGATTCAATATTTGTAAGTAAAGTTATGAATGTTTATGTTTACATCTTTTGCAGACATGCAGTGAAACACTTTCTGTTGGTTTGAAGCTCAGTCTTTTAAGTTTGAACATTAATTAAAGATTTCTCCTGTTAAGGAATGGACTTAATTAAAGATGGCTCAATCTTAGCTGCCAGAGCCAATAAAATCCATTTTACTTTAATTTCTGGAAATTCTAGAATGTAAGTGATGAGGGCAGAGAGAGTAGGTGAAGTGTTCTGTCTTGATAGAATTCCTTCCTACCTCCAGCTCCCTCCCTAAGCTTACAGGAAATATTATGTAATAGTCAATTACATTATACATGTGATTTTGATGGAATCTTTCTAGTGTAGCTTCCAGTTTGAGGTAAAACTTTTTTTGTTCTGAAATGCTTGCATCAGCCTCAAACTCACTGAATTTGAGCCCCAGACAGGGGAACTGGTTTGGCTGAGGTCACAGAGGGATCCTAAGGCTGATACCTCTTGGTTTAGTGCTCTTTCTACTAGACTTTCTCCCTGAACGACTTTGTTTTCTTCAGTTATCTTCCCAGTAGTACCATTGGCCCTAATCTCATGTAATTATATAGTTATCACCCTCAGGGCAGAGGGAAATCCAAAAGTTTCACTGTCTTGTTCATTTTTCTCAGACTGAGTTCTTGTTTTTGTTTCTCATATTGGTTGTCCACCCCCATGGCTGTCCATGCCCTAGACTGATAACTAGTTTTAATCTTCCTTGATTTCACCCCTTTTAGGAAACCCTTTTGCCCTCACCCTAACAATCCTGAACTCATCCCTGTGGCTCCATGCTGCTTAATCTTATCCTTGTGTCTGATTTTTTTCTGTTTCATTTTTGGAAATAGGATCCCCCTGCCCTTTCCAATTCTCTCCCTTCACCCTCTGCCTTCCTCTCCCTTATTTGTCCCCCTTTCCCTTTCTTTTTCTTTCAGAATTTCCCTCTCCTTTCTCCTTCCCTCATAACGTACATACCTGTGAAGTTAAATTAAACAGGGTTCTCAGGACACTAACCAGAGTTCTTTTTTCTACTGGTTAACTCAGCCAAAGAAAGGGGCTGCCGGTGGTAGTGATGGGGGAAGTAGGAGAATTTCATTTAATTGGAAGATTTGCTTAATTGTTATTTTCCATTATTTCTTCTTTAGGGTCTTTTCCCCCCAGGTCAAGGAGCCACAATTGGAGTTGATTTTATGATTAAGACGGTGGAGATTAATGGTGAAAAAGTAAAGGTAAGATGCCAAGAGATACTATGAAAGGTTCAGGAGGGATCCATGATTTCTCCCTTCCCCTTTGTGGCCTCTGGACAGTTTGTTGCCTGTGAGAACTATGGTGTCCAGCAACAGGAGAAGGGAGATGGTGATTATCAAGTACCTGATATGTGTCAGTCCCTCTGCTCGGTGATTCTGCATGTGTTATCCTATTTGACTTGATCCTTACTATAAGTCTCCTGAGGTAAATAGTAAATTATCTTCATTTTATAGGTTTCAGAGGGTTTGAAAGGCTTATTTATCTGTGGCTTCACAGTTAGGAAAGGAGGGAAGTAGAATCTGAACCACCCCACTGCCTCCCTGGGGTCTGAAAGAAGAGGGGACTCAGGGTACAGTAAGCTCGTCACCTTGGAGGAAGGCAAGAAAGAAGGTGATGGAAAGGTGAAATAGACTAAATCACACAGAAGTAGGGTAGAGAGTACCTGCCCCTTAGAATTAGTGAAACTCCATTTTCAGATCTTTCAGAGCTGAGGCCCATGGAGAAAGGCCATGGCCCTAGCATCAGCTGCACAGTGAAAACCACGGTATCAATCCCAGCTGGATCCAAGCCCAGGCACCCCAAGTTGGAGTCCACGTCATTTGCATCTTTTTCCCATTTGTACGTGCGTTCCTGCCTTCAGATGCTTCAGGAAGGGCAGAGAAGCTCCAGGATGCTCCTGTGGCCTTTCATAGACACATAGAGAAGTGTTTAGGATGAGGCTCCTGAGTAGGGGGCAGAAGCTCTCCAGTGTCTTGTCTAGCTGTGACCACCAAGCGGCTCCTTACTGTAGACATTTACACCAAATACAATAGTGATGGAGAGCTACGGGCTCTGGAAAACAAAAACAGGCTGCGAAATCCGTATAAATTCCAGCCAGAATGCTCAGAAGAATAGTGCATTGGGGTGGGGAGAAGGCACTGGGATGCTGGGAAGGAAGGAGACAGGAGTGTACACTCAGCAGGCATTGGTGGGAACAGCCACTTGCAGCTCTCACTTCTTCCAGCAGAGCAGAGGTGGTCACGATCTCAAGGTGTTGTGTTTCAGGCATTTTACTTTCAAACGTTTGAGTTTCCCATTCACATACAAATATATGTGTGAGTTAATTCCTTTGACCAGAAATGTTAGTGCCTTGCATGTGCCAGGCACTGTGGCTGAATAGGGCTGAGTAAGAAGTGGTCCCCACTGTTAAAGAACAGCCTTATTTTTCTTTCCTGAATCCCCGGGTTTAAGTGTTAGATTTAGTCCACTTTCTGTGAACCATAACCTCATAAAAAATTTTTTTTTCCAATCCTCACCCGAGGATATGTTTTTTATTGATTTTAGAGGGAGAGGAAGGGGGAGAGAGGGGGAGAGAGAAACATTGATTGCCCCCCGTACGTGTGCCAATCAGAGATTGAACCCGCAACCCAGGCATGTGCCCTGACCTGGAATTGAACCCTCAATCTTTTTGGTATACGGGAGGATGCTCCAACCAACTGAGCCACCAGGCCTGGGCACCATTATGTCATTTTTAAGTACTCAGCTAAAAACCCATCTTTTTATAACATCTGACTTCATCATGAGACCATAGGCTCCCCAAGAGCAAGGTTTGTGTCTTGTTTATCTGTATTCACAGCACAGTTCCTGTCACCGTCACCAGTTTAGGCCTCTGGACCTTCATCCATAACAAGTGAGAGTTGGCTAATCTCCCAAATGAAGTCCTGACCCATTTGGACACTTGAGGAGCAACTTCCTGTCTCTCAGTAAATGAGGACACAGCTGCCCAGGCTTCGCTAGGCAAACACTTGTCTTATTGTTGTCCTTGTTATTGGACATTTACTCATACCTCTTCTTGGTGAGGTTTAAGTGTCTTTTTGCTAGTAGTTTGCAGGTTTTCTCAGAGCCCCATAGAAACAGTGGGAAAGAGATCACCTGCCTGGAAGGACCAGAACCCAGGTCTTGTCCTTACTTCTTGTCACCCCCCCTCCCTCCCCTACAAGTCTCATTCTTTCTAGAATGGCTCCCAGGATTGAAGACAGAAAAGCAAAAGTATTAGAAAGGTTCTTATTGCTGTTAAGGTTAGTGTCAAACCGGTAGAGGCACAGCTGAGGAAGAGGCCCCTTTTTTAAGGTGTTCTACATTAATAAAGGTGACCTTGAACAGAAAACATAATTAAAACATAGAATTTTCTCCTATCCACTGTTATTTTTTACTCTATCAAAAATAAATATGCAATAAGTAAAACTTTAAGCTAGTCTACAACATTCTAACTTTAGGAGATTAATTTTTGGGCTTCTCTCTAATCAGGTGTATTTGCATAGATAGTAAAGTCTTGAAGAAAGTATGCACATATATTTGCTCATTCAACCATCTGTCCATTTATTTATTCGTCCATCCTGTGTTATAGTAGATGCTTTGTTCCAAGCACTGTGTTAGGTAAAGCACCTTGGCTCCCTTGTAACTTACTATCATCTAGCTCAACTTCTTTAATACCCTACTAATTATTACACAGAATTAACCCTTCTTTTGTGATTCCACAATCCTTTGTCATTCAGCCATTACTGAAATGTGTCCATCATGTACCATGTACCATGCTAGGAAGGCACTGGGATATAAAGTTAAGTAGACAGTCCTTGCCCTTAAAGAACCCAGTCTAGCAAGGAGACACACTAGTAAACCAGTGATTGCAGTAGGTTATTGTGACAGTGAGGTAGCAGAGGCGTAAACAGCGGTGTAAAGAAGAAAGCAGATGAACAGTGTAGCCCCATGCTGGAGGAGAGAGAGGTTAGAGAGCCCATGGCTGTGGCAGTGAGAACAGACTGACTGGCACGAGACTAACACTAGGAGGCACTTTCTCCTGCGGGTGCCTTTTTAAAAGGACATCTCATATTCTATTATAGTTAATGTTGTGTTTATCTTCCTTGTAGGCTGTGAGCTCTTTGAGATCAGGGATTGTGTCTTACTCATCTTTGTATTCTCCCTGTGCTTAGCACAGTTCTCTGCACATATTAATGAGCTATAAATGCTGCAAAGGAGCAAATGAATTGCAGAGAGAGTGGTGAAACTGAGCTGAATGATAAAAGCAATGGAATATGGATATCCTCAGGAGTCAACTATAAGGCTAGAAATAGGCCAGCCTCCTATGAGAAAGCATCTTGGCAAGACAGTGCAATTACATTTTTAGAAAACATTTCAGTGGCTTTAATCCTCGAAGCTGTTCTCAAGATGTGCCAGTCATGAGAACATACTGATTTCTAATGACTGACAGTGTTAAATCCCATCACAAGTGTTTTTGAGGCTCTATGTGGCATTATAACAAGTCTTTTGTTCTGAGATCCTGGCAGAGGGGAAACATATCCCTGTGTTTGGGGCAGAGCAGAAATAACCTTTGTCCCAGCAAAAGCCAGAACATCTGTATGGTCGCCTTCAGCATGCACAGACTTCCATGTACCCCATCAAAGAGCAGCTGTAACTCCAAATCAGAGAGCCTTTGTGCCGGTGATTGGTGGCAGGGACTACCGGCCACTCATCAGTTTCCTCGGCTAAACTGGTATGGAGAGGGTGACACTAACTGACTCATCCTCTCTGGATGTCGATGTACGTTTAAATCAGTCTCCGGGAGCAAACACAGCACAGGGGCATGAAACGAGTCCTCCGCTGGGAAGGAGGAGGCCTAGAGTCTGAGTCTCAGCTTTGTGAGTAACCATTAAGAGGTGGAGTTTCCTGTTATTAAGGGGAGGCATAAGCTTGCCTAACCCATGGATTGCGATAGGGATTAGATGAGACTGTCAATAAATATTTGAGCTCTCTATTTGCCACACACACTAATTGGTGCAGGAAAAACTGTGAGTAAAATGAACTTCTCCCCCATGAAGCTTTCAGTTTTGTGAGGAAAACAGCTATTAAACAAATGATTACAGATAAATAAATGATTTTAAAGTGTCAGGTGCCATGAAGGAGAATTACAGGGTGGGTTGCAGGAAAGAATATGTGGGGGTGTGGAACCTGGCCTAATAGAGGGTGCCAGAAGGCCTCCTCTGAGGAAATGATGTTCTTTTAATGGGGTGAATGCATTTTGCAACACATGAAATTTATACAATTGGGAGGGAAGACTATTATTGTTGTGTTATTTCTTGAGGCGTTCTGATTTGTTTTGACTTGGGTCTCTCTGGAGGACAGCTGTCTTTCAGTATCTTCTGTTCTGTGCAGGGAAATTCGGGGAGAAGTGAGAATGTATTGCCTTTTTCTTTGTTATTAGAACCATCAGTTATTTGGTTATAGAACTGGTAGGCAACTGCAGATAATGTGAACTTCCAACAGGTTTCTATGTTTATTAACCTCTTTTTATAAAGGAACCGCTGAAGCCAAAAGAGACTAAGTGACTTGCTCAAGGTCACAGAGCTTGAAAGCCGTGGAAGAAAATTATTATTTTTGTCTGCCATGGCACTGTTCCTGCTTTCACAAACAAAGATAATACCTTAATAAATTCGTTTGAATTTTGAACTGAAAAAGGTGGTGAAGTTGGATTTTCTCTTCTGCAATTGCTGACTGAAAATGCAATGACCACAGAATGACAGCTCGCCCTGCATCCTGACTTTCATAACATTTATTCTAACTTGAAAAATTCTGCCTTGTGGTTAAGAGCAGGGACTCTGGGGCCATAATGCCCAGTTGCATTGGCTCTGGAACATACTGGCTGTGAGATGTTGAGCAAGTTAATTAATATCTCTGTGCCTCATGTGAGAATTGGATACAGTAAAAGTACCTACCTCATAGTTATTGTGAGGATTGAGTTATTGAATATAAAGTGCTTAGAATAGAGCTTGACACGTAATAAATGCTCATAGACACAGACAACAGTGTGGTGGTAGCCAGAGGGAAAGGGAGATGGGGAAGGAAAGAGACTTTGCTTGGGGTGATGGGCACACGATGTAGTGTGCAGATGAAATTTTGTTCAGTTGTACACTTGAAACCTGTATGGTTTTGTGAACCAGTGTTACTCCAGTAAATTCAAAAACAACAAGAACAAAAAGAAAAGAAGAAAAAGAGTAAAGGGGAAATTCTTAAATAATCTAACAAAGCAAAAAACCAACCAACCAATCAAACAAACAAAAATAACAACAAAGCAAACCCCTGTCCCTAAGCAGACACACACAACAGATTTAAAAAAAAATTGTAAGTGCTTTGTTCTTAGGGCAGAAAATAACTATGAAATTATTTGGGTGAAGATTTTTCCATTTCTAAACTAAAGTGAAGCAGTGCTGCCTTTCTTTTCTGCTTCTCCAACCTGATCCTTCTTGTATGCCTTCCAGCTTCAGATCTGGGACACAGCCGGTCAAGAGAGATTTCGGTCCATTACGCAGAGTTATTACCGAAGCGCCAATGCCTTGATCCTCACCTATGACATCACCTGTGAAGAATCCTTCCGCTGCCTTCCTGAGTGGCTGCGGGAAATAGAACAATATGCCAGCAACAAGGTCATCACTGTGCTAGTCGGTAAGTAAGGACCGATGAGGAGAGACATTTATTTTCAGGCATCAAAGAAGTTACAATCACATAAAGCCTGTGCCTTGATACTTCCAAGAATATAGTCTACAGTTGTATAATTCAAGCAGTCAACATTCAGTTCTGCAACTAAAGAGAAAATGAAATAGGTCCTATCCCATGGTGTTGGTTTAGAAAACTAAAGTAGAAAATATTGCTGATTGATTTTCTATCAATGTGGGCTCTAGGGAAGAAGATGGACTGCCATGAAGTTATGTGGGCTGCTAAATATTATTTTAAATCTAATTCTGAGATCATGAAAGTGCTGGTCTAGAAGTTGAGTTGATAAAGAATTAATTATTGAAGCAATGGGGTTTTTTTTTGCCTAGAAAATGGACTTTAGCTAATTTTTTCCCTTCTTATATTTATTCTGACTTGAAAAATTCTAATTTTCAGAAAGAATCTAGTAAGGGAAATTCTGCAGTTTGTTTCATTTTGTGGGAGGGTAGAACCTCTGTTTATTATGGGGAAAGCAGAAAACAGCCTGTGGTTTTCTATGGTGACAAATACACCCATTAAGAATGGAATTGCAGTGAAATACCAGATCATTAAAAATTTCTCTAGTGGTGATAGAAAAATGTTAATGATATATGATTGTTAAAATGTTTTTTTCCTAAGAAGGAATATTACTGTATATTCTAGCAAGATCTGAATTGGAAATCTGGGTAGAGAACCTCAGAAACACTAAGTTATAAATTATGGCTAAGGGTAAGTTAAGTAAACACTTTATAGGAAGCATTATAGCTAGCATATATGTGCTAGGAATCCTACTAGGAACTTTATGTGTCATGATTTATAGATAAGGAAACCAAGGGTCCGAGAGGTGTATAGTTTGCCCAAGTTCACACAGCATGAAAAATCTACCCCAAACCCTGTATTTGTCCACTTTAACATGCTGCTTTGCAGCAAATCCCTGGACTTTTCTTTCAGGCCACTGGGTTAAGGATCTGCCTCTCTCTCTATGAGCTAGTGTGCCATGTCGGGTCCTGAAAACCCTCTTTCACCCTTGAGAACCTTTGCCATGAAGCACCTGAAAGCCCTCAGCTTTGGGCTTTGTTCCACAGAAAGCCCTTGAGACTTGAGTCAAATCATTACTCCTTGGGAATCTAAGGAAGTTGAATGAGGATTTGAGGGAAGATAATTAGTCAGTTCAGTAGGAAAGAGGCACTGGCTTTTTTTAAAACTTTTTATTATGGAAAATTTCAAACTTAAGCATAAGTAGAGAAAACAGTATAATAAACTCCATGTACACATCTCTCAGCTTTGGCAATTATTAATTTATGGTCAATCTTATTTTATTCTCCATCTATTTTATCTGCCCCCCCCCTTTAGATTATTATTAAAAATTTTTTTAAAATCCTCACTCGAGGTCATATTTTTCTTGATTTTTAGAGAGAGAGGAAGGGAGAAAGAGAGAGAGAGACAAAGAGAAAGAAACATTGATCGGTTGCCTCCTGCACGTACCCTGATGGGGGATCTAACCCGCAACATAGGTATGTGCCTTGACCGGGAATCGAACTAGCAACCTTTTGGTGGACAGGACAATGATGCAACCAACTGAGCCACCTGGCCAGGGCCCCCTTCAGATTATTTTTAAGCAGATATTGTATTAATATTCATCTTTCAAATGTCAGTGTATATCTCTAAAAGATAAGATTTTTTTTTTTTTAAAAAAGAGAACCTAACCACAGTGCCATTTCACACATAAAAATATTAATAATTCTTTAATAGCATCAAAAATTTAGACAATGTTCAAATTTCCTTGATTGACTAAATTTTATTTTATTCAAATTAAGATCCAAATAAAATCCATATGTTGTAATTGTTTTTTTTATTTCTCTTTTTATCTGTAGTTTATCCCTCCATTATGTTCTCCCTTGGAACTTATTTGTTAAAGTACTTGTCCAAAATTCAGAGTTTTGAAGCCTGAACTTTGTTACTTCATGCTTGGGGTGCCATTTGACGTACTCCTCCGTCACCTGTGTTTCTTGCAGCTTTGTAGGTAAACCTAGAGGCCTGCTCAGATTCAGGGTTGTTTGTTTGTTTGTTTTCTTGTTGTAAAAATTCTTCACAGTTGGTATTCTGAGGTATAGTTTTCACAGGACAATCAAGAAAAAATGCTTCATTTTTTTTAATTTACCACTTTTCAAGATAATGAGTTGGTGCCTAGTAGCTTCCCAAAGTAACTAATGAAGTTTGTATTTGAATATCATCATATATTTAAATATATTTGGTGTATTCCAGTTCCTTGCAGTTATCATCAGTGCTCTAACTCTTCCAACTTTGATAGCGGGAGCTTCTTCAGATGAGCTCCTGAGTCCTTTGGACATGACCCCAGGAATCTGATAATTTTCTTGTTTTCTGGTATGACAAGTATTCCAGGCACATCTTGTGCATTTCCTATCCCAGACCTGGAATTAACCATTTCTTCAAGAAGCACTGTTTCTTTTTAATGGGATGTTGTATTTAGAAGCCACAACCAAGGTGATGGGAATCCTTCTTATTAGTGGGCTGGTTATTACTATTAGGCGTTTGCATAGACAGAGCTTTTGTGTGTGTGTGAGAGAGAGAGAGAGAGAGAGAGAGAGAGAGTGTGTGTGGTGAATCCTGTAGTGCCCACAGGGGTTGTCCTGTTAGGCTCTACTAAACATTTTGACTCACACTGGGCATCACACTCACTTAGAAGGGTATAGGTCAGGAGACACGGCTTATAGGAGGTCAGCACCAGGCCTTCCTCTTCAGTGGAAGCAGCCCTCATAGCAGTCCATGGAGCCTCCCAGGACTGTTCAGGTGTGAGGCAAAAGGCTCACTTCAAACAAGCACAGGATCTGCCCTGGCCTAGAAGCCTCAATGGCCCATAGGAGCCAGTCTCACTCATAACAACTCCACAGGCCTAACTTCCAGGGTCTCTTCAGGTGATGAATCACCACACTCAGGGAAGCCCAGAGTTACGGCTTTCCATTAGGTATTTATAATTCATACACAGAATCCCCAGTCCAGAGGAATTTATCAGTCAGGGTCCCTTTTACCGTGGAAAATGTTGCCAAGTAACATAGTTGACATATCACCTTTGTCAGGGTTCCCAGAGAATAGAGGTAAATTTTTTGAAAGGTAAAATACAGCATGAATTATTCACACTGATACTTCCACTTATAATTTAGAACTTCAGAAATTTTACCTAATGTCATTAATCTTATATCTATATTTCCTTTTTCTCATGCCCAAAATCCCTGTCCTGGTGACACCTGCATAATCACTCATTTGCTTTATGCCTGAGAAACATTCATAGCAACCTCAGAATAACAATGCCAGTACTTGCTGACAAGATGATTACTGCAAGAATTCAAGATTTTTTTCCTTCAACTCCTTTTGTTCTTGGGGTATATGCCACTGGGGATACACAGTTAAATTACTGTCCCTTAAACTCACGGGAAATCGCTTCTCTGTGTGGCTATGCCGCTTCATGATGAACAGGTTCATTTGTTTAATTTTGCTTTCAATTATAGGAATTGCTTTTTAAATTTCATTCCATATTAATTTTATAGTTATAATTAATTATAGAATCATGTAAAACAGTTATAAGATTCTGAAGTCAAATCTGTAAAATAAGGTAGATTTAGAGAGTTCTAGTTTCTGTCCCTCCCTACCCCTTAACCTATTCCTTTAATGGGTAACCATTATCTTTAAAATTAAGATTTGGGTTTATTGTCCCATTAAAAAGTAAGCAAATAAGCCGTGTGTATATTTTTCTCATCCTTGTTCTTAAATAGACAGTTATATATTATATACGCTTTCTCCTGCTTTATTCACTTAACAGTATATCCTCGCGTCTCACCTGGCAGCATGTAGAGACAGTCCTAATTGCTTTTTACAGTGGCAGATAACTCCCAATAACTATGGGTGTACAACAGTGTATTTAGCCAGTGCACAGGTGATGGACATTTGGGCTAGTTCCAGTTCTTTGCCGTTACAAGTGGCACTGGTATTTTAAAATAAACATTCCAGTAATTACACTACCATTTGCTTGGCTTTACTAGCCCATCTGTCTGGTTTGACTTCAGCTATGGAATTGAATTTCGATGTTTCCGAGCCTTCAAAAAGTCAAATAATGATTCCATCTGTGATTCTACCACTGTCTTAGGCAACAAGATTGATTTGGCTGAAAGGAGAGAGGTCTCCCAGCAGAGAGCTGAAGAATTCTCAGAAGCTCAGGACATGTATTATCTGGAGACCTCTGCCAAGGAATCTGATAACGTGGAGAAGCTCTTCCTTGACTTGGCGTGCCGCCTCATCAGCGAAGCCAGGCAGAACACGCTTGTGAACAGTGTGTCGTCGCCCTTACCTGGAGAGGGGAAAACCATCAGTTATTTGACTTGTTGTAACTTCAACTAAAGGCCGAGGCAAGAAGCAGGAGGAATCAGCAGCTGCCCCGATGGGCCACAAATTGCTGGGGAGATCTGGCGATGGTGGTGGCGCCCGTCCTCAGACCTTCTGACTCCTGAGTCTACAAAGCATGGCAGGCCACGGGCCTGGTCTCCAGGCCGGGATTAGCAGAACACGTAACGGTTTCATCCTTTTGCAGTCTGGAGTCAGAGCAAGGAGAAAGTTGCACTAGGCACTCCATGACCTGCAGAGCATGTTGCTTTTGTCTTTAAAAAAAAAAAAAAAAGCAAGCAAAAGCGCATTCCTGAACACAGTCAGTCCAGGGGAATCCCTCCTGTGCACCAGTGGGTGCAGGTGGGAGCTGCTCTTTAGGGCTTCTAGGGGCCTTGGTTTTCTTGTCCACCAGATAAACCAAAACTGGGAAGGCCAAGTACTGTCTCTGTGGTGCGTGTCGATGACCCCATGGAGATTTTGAAGTGTTATGTCTCTTGTCCACAGGCACTTTCAAGAACTTTGGGATGTAAAAATGAAATGAAACCTTTATCCATGACCAACAGTTAACAATTATTGTTTTAATGATATATACAAGCTCATGACTCCTTTTGGTGCTAATGATTCCGCTATTTCACAGACCAAACGTTTTAGTACATTGATGTCCTTAAATGTATTTCATAGAAATAAAAAAAAATAAGGGAAGTCCATAAATCAGCACTCTTTCTCAAAGTCTCCTTATATCTTTTCTAGGGTGGATTTGTTGGAAAAGAATACTTTCCCTTCATGTTCCCCTCTAAATCTTACTGTTTTCTCATCTTTCCCACCCTTTAAGCATATGAAAAAAAGAAAAAGAAAAATAAGAACGGTTGATAATATTCTAATATAAACAATTAGCTCTAATACACTATTAGTAAGTTTGAGAAAACAGACCAGATCTGACCAAAATACTGTGGATTAATGGACTGCAGTGCAGAGCTCCAAGCAGAGCACAGCTCTTGAGCAGGTCACATCTTTTACTTTCTGATACTATCTATCTTGGACAGACCAAGGTTTAGGGCTTTGTAGGTTTTCAGTATGATAAGTGAAAAGAGCAACAGATGAAAACTCTCATGAACCATTTTTGTATCTTCAGTGAAAACCTTAGAAAATTTCTGCTTGTGGAAGCAGGTTCAGTTGTCATTTGTCACCTTCTTTGTGTGGTAATGCTACTCTCAGACCATACATTCTTTCCTGTTTCCCTTCTCTTTCTTTCCTGGCCTCTCCCTTCTTCTTTCTTCCCTCCCTCTTCCTAACTCCCTTCTTTCCTTATCTGCATGTATTACTGCAAATCTCCAATGCAAATGGAGGTGTATATGCCTTTACTTAGCCAATTTTAAACCAGGACTCAAAAATGGAAGACATGCTGCTGAATATGTATTATTTCTTCAGTGCCATACTTTGATACCTTCCAATTTGTTCACTGATATAAATGCAAATTGGGAAAATAATTAAACCTGTATGCTGTTGACACTGTCAGATGTTTATGTAGCTTGCTGCTTAGCATAACTAAGGGATGAGTAATGGAGTAAGGGTTTAATATGCAATTCCACTGTTTCTATAGATGGTGGCAGCCTCGGTCCTGATATGTTGATGTTTGAAAGCTAATTTTAAAGAAATGAATCACATAGAGACAGTATTGATAAAGAATTTCTAGCATTTTCAGAGTGACCCCCCTCTTGCACACGGAGACTATACATTATTCTTTAAGGGACTGGTACTTTTGGTTGACCCCACTGTGTTTGTCTTAATCGTATGGGTAAGAGAGATCCCACAAGTCTGAATTGCTTTTATTTTAGACTCTGTCTCTACAGGAAAGAAGAATCATTTGAATAAACACCAACTGAAATAATTTATAACTGTCGCCTTTCCCTTCCTGGCTTCTCCACTAAGCCAACAACTGAAAGTATTCAGAAAACTAGTTGATTAAGGTGGGCAGAACTTCTCTTTTTAAACTGTGAGGAAATGTCCCCAGGTTTAGATTTATTATCTTTTAATTAGGGCAAACATCCAATTATCCTAGGACATCATGACCCAACTTTGTCTCAGAGCAGCGAGTTGAAAATAAGTTGCTTTGTGAACTTAGAGGATAGGATCTTGTCAGATTGGACAAATTTATGTAAAATAACAGCTTCTAGAGTCATTCTAGCATTCTGAAATTCCTATTCCCTAAGGCTTACCCTCCTCTGTCTACCATTGGCTGCACTTAGGAGGGGATTAGAAAGCTCTGCTCTTGGCCCTGTTCTTCCCTGTTGCTCCTTCCAGCCTTTGTGTAATTTACAGCCACCCACCCATGGCCCATCAGCAGGACACATGGGAATGTAGGGCTTGCTTGCTGCCCGCCCCCCCCCCCAGTTGTGTGAATTTCAGATTAGGCCTTATGGACACTTGTTCACTGATGTAGCTCAAGTTTGAGAATAATCCCTGACAGTATTGTAGGTGCTCAATAAGTATAGCTGAATAAATAACTGAGTGTCAAGAGGAACTTTTTCGGTTAAATAGAAATTTCTCAAAAAGAACTTGAGAAAGGACGCTATAATTAGATGTCATCGTAGCCCACACCAGGACCTAAACTTACTGGTTTGCTTACTAGTTCTTATTGTCATGGCAGTATTTGCTAGGATGAGTCCTCTTAAATAAAAATGACTTCTCATTTAATGGTGGATGAAAAGAGAGTTGCTTTCTCATAATTCAGTTTGACTTCATTTGAAGACTATCAGACTCCATGTCTAATTCCATTTTTGGTATGATCTTTTTCTTCTTTTAATAAAGTTACTAAATACATGGCAATAAAATTGTATCATATTCATGTCATGAAGTCAGGTTTGGGAAAATCTGTGAAGTCATACAGCTTGCTGATATTAATGATTTATTTTATAGCTTTGTGTGGACAGTCTCCTCAAAGGATTTTGTGCTTTCTCCTTTACCTATGCAAGGCTCTTTGCTCCTTTATATGCTTTTATTGGATGTGTTGAATTGTGTTAACATTTAATTCTGACTCTACAGGGCCAGTTACTCTTTGTATGGATCACTTAGATTAGCCTTTTAGCTTTTCCTGGCCTTACTTTTCCCCTTTGATTGACTTCATGTTCACATCTGTTCCTGAGTAAAGTGGCAAGAAAACGAAAAATGAAAGTCAAATGGATTGATTTGATGTCTTAATTTCTGATTCAGGGTTTGATAAAGGCCACTGGCCAAAATAAGATATTTGGATTAGGATTATTTAAAGCAATTTAGACTTCTTGGAGGGTGGAGGAAGAACCTAATAGAAAACTGGACACTTTTTCTATTCATAAATGTATATTCTTGGAGGACACTGGTGACTCCCAGTGTTAAAACAACGATTTGCCTCATTTATCCCATTTAGCTATCCTGTGATGCTTCCAGATTCAGCATCAACTTTCAGGTAATGAATCATTCTGAATAAATACCAGTTGTGATTTTGACTAAATGAAAACATCTTTTTTATAAACCAAGCCACATTAGCCTCTGGAAGAGCTCCCCTGGGGTTTGCCCTTTCATCTAGAATCTATTAAAAAACTGCAACTGGTTACTTACTTTCCTCACCCGTGGACAGATGTGTTTTAATGCAAGTATAGTAATACTTTTAAGACTTAACTAGAAAATCAAAAGCAGTGATAAAAACATGTGTGTCCCACCCTTCAGTCATGAGCAGCATAGTTGTACACTAATTTGGGGATAAGAGAGGGATGTGTTTTCTTCTTTTCAGATTTTGTTTCTGTCACATGAGCCTGTTTGTGTTTGGAAGGGAACCTGCCTTCCCTTACATTCTTCATTTTGGGTGGTAGAAAGCATACTGAATTAAGAACTTATCATTCCTTCAGACAGCCAATTAATACAGTAATGTTAGACCAGGGAGATGACACTTCATCTCCTTTCCTAAGTCTATGACGTTGGAATGTTACAGTTATTCCTGGAAGCCATACTTTGAAATTAATTTTTAAAAAATATATCTTTATTGATTTCAGAGAGAGGAAGGGAAAGGAAGAGAGAGATAGAAACATCAATGATAAGAGTCGTCATGGATTGACTGCCTCCTGCACGCCCCCGACTGGGGATCGAGCCCGAAACCCGGGCATGTGCCCGGACCGGGAATCGAACTGCGATCTACTGCATCCTAGGTTGATATTCAGCCACTGAGCCACACCCAGCTGGGCCATACTTTGAAATTAAAAACAATTTGAAGCATAACATGGATGGTCAAGGAATTAAAAATTTAAGACATTTGAACCTTTGAAGGATTAGGGGAGATTTAGCTTGGAAAAGAGAAAGGAATACAATTAGCGCATTAGAGCAAGACCGGTTTCAAGGGGTGTATTGAGGCCCATTAAATAGAGGCCATAGGGTCACAGATTTGGGCTCCATATCAGGAAGAACATTCTCAAAAAGATGGCTCACTATAGAAGGAGCTGCTTCAGCAATAGTCTGTCAAGCAGAGGTTAGAAAAGAACTCAGCAAAGATGATGTAGAGAGGATCCCAGAATTGATTAGGTGTAGGACCAGATGACCCAGTAACTGAAGAGTCTATGTTGCAGTGCTTTGCCCCTCATAACATGTTCAATTAAATATTTGTTGACCTACAGCTAATGGTTTAAGACAAAAAAGGCTTTGCTCTTCTACCAAAAGTGCATCCTACCCTCCAGGAAGGAGGTTGGTTACATGTTGTCAGGCCAAGACTACATGCCATTATGCCCTAGGCTGCGATTGCTTTGCCAGTCCACTTACTGATGTCCTGTTGAAATCACAAATTGGTTCTTGAGTTAAAAAAAATTTAGAAAGGCATTATTTTAGTAGAAGTTACATGAAATCGTGAAAATTGTGTGTTTTTCACTTGCCAATAATAGACCAGGCTCAGTTTAGTGAATAATTGGTGTCTCTTCAGGATTTAAGGATAGGCCTTTTTAGTAGAGCGGAATCTTCAGGTGAAGATCCCATGACTCTACCAACATGAAGTTTTGCAGCTCCCAACAGAGAGGGGCTGGTGGATCACTGACATAAAGCGGTCCCCAAGATCTATTTTGGAAAAAATCTCAAATGATATTTGGTTACTTAGTTTGATTCTCTTGAAAAAACATGATCTGAAAATTATTTTAATTGAAAGGCCAAATTGCTTCATGTAAAAAGTAACAAAACATAATCTTTGAAAATCAGAGGTAACTATAAGCAACATTTGCTAATAAATCCCATGATCCAAGTGATTCCACCTGCAAAATAATATGCATCCTTGCTATACTGATAAGATTCATTGGTCTTGCATTAGTAGAAACACTTGAGTTTGGGTGAGATCCTTTCATTCCTTTGGCTAAGAGGACAGAGCATAAAAGCTAGTCATCTCTTCTTTAATTGACTTCCTGAGGTGCATGAATCAAAATTTTACTTTCCCACTGAGTTAAAGCAGAATTTTTAGAGATGTTGTATTCTAGTTCCTGATGGAATCCTTAGTGGGTTATAATTCTGACACACAAGAGAGTGATGTAGGGAGGTGTGTAGAAGGGGAAACACTAGGCTAGGTGCCAGGAGTCCTAGTACTGCCATCAATTAGCTGTAACTTTATGCAAAGCACAATCTCTTGAGCATCAGTTTCCTCATCAATGATAGACCTGTAATACCTGTCAGGATTATTGTGAAAGTTACATAAATTGGAAGTGCGGTGCTTAGTAAACAGTAAGCACTCAGATATTAGTTTTTTCTCTTTGATTAAGAGCAGACTTTGGATGGTCTGATGCAAGTGTAGATCCTTAGGACAAAATAAGTTACCCTTTATGATTTCAAAGACAAGAGTTCCATTTCTGAAAGGGTTTTAAAAGGAAGTCACTTATTGATCAGTCAGTCTGCCTTTGGGCATTACAGTTACCTAAGAGACTCATCTCTTGTACTTGAGGAAAGGCATTCTCTCTCTCTCCCCGCCCATAGGCAACTCCAGGGTTGTAAACTCCTCTATCAGGAAACGTAAACTTATTACTGAAATACCTCACAGTGCAATTTGAATCTCTCTCTTCCTGATCCCATTCCTGGGAAGAAAAATGGGCTGATCCTATCTTCCTTTTAAGGGGCCATGTTTGGCATTTATTATTGCCCCTTTGCCTCATTTTTTAAAGTAACAGCTCATTAAGGTGATAATAATTATTCCTTGAGGGAATGTCAGGATAGGTATTTATAGACTCTTAGCTTCTTATTGGTATATTTAGATCATAATCTTACTGTTGGCCAACTCTTGAATTATCCATGCGTTTTTCTTGTTTATATAACATAATTGATAGCAAAGTGTGCTTCTGAAGAATTATTCTGGTTGTGTGGCTCTTGTTTCTTCCTCTTAGTAAAAATGGAGTCATCATTCCAGTTGTCATCTGCTTTTAGAATTTAATTTCATAGATGACATTATTTGATAGACATAATTACCAACATTGAAATTTAGCTGGGTTTCTTTCCCTTTTTATGTGTGCACTAAATTTGAAATAAAAATTGGAATACCAAATGCCTAATTAAGCAAAAATTCAAGTACAGAATAATAAGAGATAAGGATCTGGTCTGTTAGATAATTTGTCACTATTTGGTTGAATGGTGCATAGCTATTGTTTAAGGCTAGTTATGCCTGGATTAGATAACAATAGCAAGACTGAAAAACAGCTGCTAAACCTATTGCTTTCTCAACTGTAATCACTAGGAATAAATATTCTCTTTTCCTGTACAATTGCAGAATGCTGGTGGGACTTTCTTGTAGGCTATATGACAATAAATGTTAATTCACTTAAAAATTTTAAAAATCCTCTTATCCCTTTAAGGCGTGTTGGGGCTTTCATGTCCCTGTTGTAGAAAATTTCAAATGACTGGAATGCTTGCTACTAATTTCTGTTCACTGAAGTGTCCTCTAGACATACCAGATGATTGGAGCTCCTTTGATAATATGTAAGGGAGCTACATAAATGTACTTGTCAATGCACTTACACAAAGTTAAGTGTATAAAATTGCTGTTTTCAGCAAAAAAACCCCACACCAAAACAAAACAAACAAAAACCCCACACAAAAAAACCCTTAAAATTTCAGGTAATAAAGGGTTAAGAAGAGATTTTTGATAAAGGGAAAAACGTGCCCCATATATATTGTTGCATAAAAAATGCATGACTTTTAGTACAGGCATGAAATAAAATGCAAAATATATCATTCTGGAGGTCTTCTCAGCAGCTAGTAAAAATATTTAGAGAAGCTGTTTTATGAAGACTTAAAAGATCCTTGACCCCCCCAATTTCCTATGTCTTTTCATTAAAACGTGGATCTTAACATACACAGAGTTTAATAAACATGTTAGTCATCAAATCTTATGAACTCAATTCTTAATATTTGGCTGTTGGTTTGAAGCATAGGCTCTCAGTAATACCCGAATACACCAGTATATAAACTCTAACCATCAGCTTCAATGCAAACATAATACTTGGTTTTAAATGTTAATAGGCAGATATTAGCAGTACACTGTACCGTGTCTTATGCGATCATGTTCTTTTCTTTGCTTAATAAAAAGACTGTAGAAATATAAGCCCATAATGACCTGAGTGCAATTAGCTAAAAAATGTTCTGTAGAAAGGCGTTTGTGTATGAAAACTTCAATCAACATTAAAAAGGAGGGATAGGTAACAGGAATCTAAACAAAATATTTTAAATGAAGGTGTGTCTCTCTTTTAAAAATTAAGATATAATTCACACTTCATATAATTCTGTGTATGGCATTTTTGCTGTTGACATCTTTGCCGTAGCATCTTTGCCAGAAACGTTTTTGCGGCAAATATTTTTGCATATAACCAATTGTTCAGAAGGTCATTTTGCTGTAAAAAAAACCAAACCGATAAAATAACTTTTGTTTTTTGTTTGGTTTTGTTTCTCCATTGACAAATCAACAACTGTAAAAAAAGATAAAATAACTGGTTGACAGTTTGGTTTTATGTTTGGTTTGTTTGATTTCACTGATGAATAAACTGCCTTAATGTATTTAAGATTTAGTGTACTTAAGCTAGTCATGAGTTTGGGTTTATATTCCCATTGCTGAAGTTTTCTCAGTTACTCTAATTTTTGTGTTGTATATAAATCTCAGCTAGCCCTTATAATGGTCTATACTGTGAAAGTACTTA